GGAAACTTTAAAAAACCACTCTTGCAAGGTAGGCAAAGATTCCTTCTTCCAATATTGCCCTACTAACAGCCTTGCGGCTGTAATCAAATTTAACATCAATATAACCTCCTTAGCATCACAATCAGTAACAATACCTAACAAAAATAATTGCGGAGTAAATTTTACCCTCCTTCTAAAAATTCTTTGAATATTCCACCATATCTTAATCCAAAAAGCTTTTATATTTTTACACGACCACCAAATATGATAATAGGTGGCGTCCAAACAGCCACATCTCCAACATTTAGGCTGTAAATCAGGGTACATAAGAGACATTTTTTGTGGATCAAGGTGCCATCTATAAAACATTTTATAAAAATTCTCCCTTAAGTTCTGGGCTTGTGTAAATTTAACATTCCTCACCCAGATAATTTCCCAGGTATCCAGTGGGATTGGTTCACCAAAATTTTGTGCCCATTTAATCATACAATCTTTGATTAATTCAGATTCTGAATCCAATTCCACTAGAACCCCGTAAATCCTCTTAATGTGAGTTTGTCTTTGATCCTTTACTTGTTTAAAAAGATTTTCATCTTCTCTAAGCCAGCCCATATTACAATCCATCTTCCATCTGTCCACTATTTGTCTATATTGAAACCATGAATAGGTAATATTTTCATGTACTAAATCTTCCAAAGATTTTAACTGCCAATTTTGACCATCCCATCTAAGTAATTGTGTATAAGAAACCCTATCCATTTTAACTCCTCTCCTTATCCCCTCTATCGCATGCCAAGGTATAGCCCATAAAGGTATTTTAAAATCACTCTTATAATACTTCCTCCAAACCCAAAGTAAAGAGATCCTTATAATATGTGATTTAAAAACTCGATCCACTTTTTTATTAAAAGTTAAGTAGGCATGCCATCCAAAAAGTAAGTCCCAACCCTCCAGATGGAGTATTTCTACATTTGTTAAATTTACTCAATCACTAATCAATGTTAAGACCACAGCATCATAATATAATTTCAAATTCGGTACCTTGAGTCCACCCCTCTCACGAAAATCTTGCATAATTTTAAGCTTTACCCTTGGTTTTTTCCCTGCCCAAATAAATTTATTAATGCCTTTCTGCCATTCATTTAAGTTAAGCTCATTCTTTAAAATAGGTAGCATTTGAAACAAAAAAAGAAATTTTGGTAGGACATTCATTTTAATCACTGCAATTCTACCCATAAGAGATAGCTGTAACTTATCCCAATTCTTCAAATCTTTCTGTACCCTGATCCACAACTTTTCATAATTATTCTTATACAATTTTACATTAGAGACAGATAAAGTAACCCCCAAATATTTTACCTTATCAACAACTTCAAAATCTGTTAAATTAACCAAAATCTGCTTGTCCCGGTTAGTCATGTTTTTAGGTAATATTTTAGTCCTATTATTATTGATTTTAAAACCCGAAACACACCCATCATATACCTTCCGGTTATAAAACCCGATTGATCCTTATGTATAAGCTGCTGCAAAACCCTCATAAACCTATTAGCTAAAATTTTTGCAAAAATTTTATAATCCACATTTAAGAGAGATATAGGCCTATAATTCTTTGTTAAGGTAAGATCTTGATCCTCTTTTGGAATTAAGGATATAAAAGCACTGCGCCATGACGGAGGAATCTCTAAACCCTGTAATATATTATTAAAAAGCTCACATAAAGGTTGAGTCATCTCTTCTACTAAGGTTTTATAATAAATGGATGTCAAACCATCCGTACCCGGCGCTTTACCTAATTTTAATTGCTTAATAACTGTCACAATTTCCTCATTAGTAATTAAACCATTGATTTCTTGTTTCTGATCTTCTGTTAGTTTAGGAAAGTTAGCCTCACTTAAATAATTATTTATATCTAAAGTTTGTACATTAGTACTCTTATATAATTTCTGATAATAATCTAGAAAAGATTTCTTGATCAGCTCTTTCTGATACACTAATTTATTGTTATAATTTATTTTATCTATAATTCTCTGTCTCTGTTTCTTTCTTAATTGATAGGCCAACCATCTCCCTGGTTTATTAGCATTACAAAATGTATTTTGTTTCATAAACATTAGATTAGTTGCGGCTTGATCAGCCATCAGCATATTAAATTGTATTCTTAACAGCTTTATAGCTTCTTTAACCTTTTCATCTGAAGGATTTAAAATCAAAAACTTCTCTTTTAGTTTAATCTCATCTTCCAATTCTTTACGTTTCTGAATCTGCTTTTGTCTATAAACATTATTCATCTTTATCAAGATCCCACGCATGAAGGCTTTACCTGCATCCCATACCATTGATATTGATGTTCCCTTATACATATTTAAAGCAAAGTAATCCTTTAAGCACTCCTTTAATTTTTGAACATTTTTTCTTGTTTAAATAAGTTCTCATTCACCCTCCAGGATCTCCTCTCCTCTTTTTCGACAGCCAATTCCATCCAAACTGGACTATGATCCGTCAGTGACCTAGGAAAAATGTTTACATTCTTTACCCTATTATATAAGTCTGTTGTAATCAAGAAAAAATCAATCCTTGAAAAAGATTGGTGTCTATCTGAGAAGAAGGTAAAATCTCTCTCCTCTTGGTTACGTTCACGCCAATAATCCCTCAACTCCCAGTCCTCTTTCAAATCAAAAAAGGCTTTAGGTAATTTAGCCTGTTTGAAGAAAGTAGAAGAACCTTTTTTGTCCTTTTGGGTATCTAAAACACCATTCCAATCTCCCATTAATATCACAGACCTATAGTCCAGCGAAGTTATTTTCTGATGTAACAATCTATAAAATTGTTCCTGTTGCTGGTTTGGTGCGTACAATCCCACTATAAGTATTTTCTTACCATATAGACCAAGTTCAATCATAACATATCTTCCTTGAGGATCTGATTCTACCAGGCAGGCTGGTAGACTTTGCTTAACATAAATAACCACACCCCCTTTTTTCCCAGGGGCAGGAGATGCAAAATGAGATCCCAAGCGAGCATTAGCTAAATATTTTTGATCTTTAAGTAAGATATGAGTTTCCTGTAAGCAAATAATATCATTATGTTGCTTTAGATAATAAAAGTTTTCTTTCTTTTCTGCGGGGAATTGAGGCCGTTAACATTCCAGGTCAGGAACTTTGCCATCTCCCTTGACCAGGAGCCTGGAGAAAACTGCCTGAAGATCTGCCACTGAAGAATGTGTTGCAGAACTCTTGGGTCTTGCTCCTCCCACCGGCATTGAAACACTCTCATGAGAAGATTCTTTAGCTTCTTTCTTCTGTTGTTCCTTTTCCTTACGTTTATGTGCTGCGCGGGTCATTCTCTGCTCTTTAACCTCTGTTTGGCGCAGCCATTCCACCTGTGATTTTCCAGCAGCCATCAAACCTAGTCCTTCAGACTGCTGTTCCACCTCTTTGCCGCCCAGAGCTTTCTGAATCATAGATGGAGATGAGCCTGCTCCCAGGACCATATTATAAAATTCTTTGGCTTTAGCAACCGTATTAAGTCTGTAACGTGTCCCCGCATGGCTCAAAACAATACCCATCGGAATCTCCCATCTGAATGGCATCAATCTTGTTTTAAGTTCATTAGCTAAAAAAGCAAAGTCTTTTCTATTTCTTAAAATTTTAGATGGGATTTCCTTTAGAATGATGACATCTTGGGCAGCAATCTGGAACCTCTTATTATAAAAAGCTTGTATAATCTCATTACGCAGAGACCTCTTTGAGAAGTAAATCACCACATCTCTTGGCAAATTCTTTTGTTTCGCAATCCAAGAATTAACTCTGTAAATTTTTTCCACTTCTCTACGTAATCCATCTTTATCCCTATTCAGAACAACAGCTAGATCATTCATCACCATCTCCATCAGGTCTTGATTCATGTCTTCTTTAAGACCCCTAATTCTCAAAGCATATTCCATTTGCCTATACTGAGACATAAGAATATCCTCTTGTGAAGTTTCCATCTTTTTTTCCATATCTTGAAATTTATACTCGAGGAGGTCTACTTTCTCTGCAACTCCTTCCACTCTGGAATCCAACTTCACGACCACAGAAGCCAATCCTGATAAAGCTGTAACTATGTCTTGCCTCAGAATAATATTATTCTCCACTAAAAGCTCCTTCATTTCCTCTTTAGTTTCAGATTTATTCTGTTCAAGAAGATCTTTGTTCTGTTTAAAAAGGTCCTTCATTTCCTCTTTACTTTCAGACTTGCTCTGTTCAAGAAGTTGCTTCATTTCCTCCCTGATTTGAGATACAGCATTTCCCATTATATCTTTAATATCTTGTGCAGACAAGGCTGGCAAGGGAGGAGAAGATGGAGGTGTAACCTTAGGTTGCAGCACTGGTGGTGTAACTTTAAGTTGTTGTTGTATAGTTGCAATTACAGGAGAAGAAACCACCTTAGAGACTATAGAAGCTGGTTGTCTCTTTGAAGCCATTTTTTTAAAAGTCTTATTCTCTCTTTCTTTCTTCTTAAAAAGAAAGATACTAAAATCCTTAAAATTAAAAAAAGGACCAGGGAGAGTGCAAAAAAAAAAAAAAAAAAAAACTTCCAAAGCGCTTTAAAAGAAAAAGGAAAAAGGAAACTTGAAAGAGAAAAAAACTGGGCTCATTTAAGTCCGTTCTTTCTTTCCGGAAAGGAAAAAAAAAAAGCACTTTCAAAACGCCATTTTACTTTCACTCTCACTCTCCACCGAAAAAAAAACAAAAGAAAAAAAATCAGCATAAGCTAAAAGAGAAATAAAAAGAAATAAAACTCTAACTCTAAGTAAAATCCTTTAAACAGTTCTGTCCGCTTTAAAAATCACTCACCAGAAAACTTTAAGCGCGGAGATGGTAGCGGCGTTTCACTTTGTTTCCGAAGAAACAAAGACAGCTGGGAGGCGGAGAAAGCACAAACTCCGAGGGAACACTCTTTCTACTCCCCCCAAAAAAAATCCAGGGGGGGGGTTAAGAGGTTCTACCTCTATTCGTGTGGTCTCTACCGCTTCCTTTCGCCCGGGAAGGGGATTTCGAGCCGCGGACCAGCTGATGCACGCTGTGCTCCGCAGATCTGACGCCGTCCCAGGAGGACGGCTACAAGGTAGCCGCCATCATCGTCGCTGACCACCGGAAGCTCCTTGGAGTTTGTTTTTATTCTTCCTAATCCAGTGAAATGTTGGAAAGAAAGGATGTAAAAAGGCTTGGAGCTTTTTCTATTTGCCCATCAACAGGATAACTTTCCCAAATCAGAACAAGATCGAATGTTATATGGGGGTGAAGTGAGAAAATTGAAGATGGACCAGATTTGGCTAGGAGCTGCTGAAGAAAATAATATCCTCCCATCTTGTTAATGCATCTCTATAGGGAGGTAGAGTTTTGGAATTTTGCTGACTAAGCCCTCCTTCCTTGTTACATTCTAAGCCCTCCTTCCTTGTTACATAACCCAAAGTACAATATATATAGCCCACACTGTACTTCTCTGCAGACTTGCAAAGACAGTGTTATAGTTTGAAGGGAAATACAGAGATACAACCAATATACAATTACCCAGACATATACATATACAGGCAACATGTATAGATAAAACATTTTCACTTTAATAATAAATATTTTCTTTTGGGAACCTTGCCATTTGTACAGGCTAAGTTAATCTTTAATCTGGGAAACCTTTTGAACTAACCTAAATAAAGGTTCAAAGGGTTAGTGAATTTCTGCATTAGAGGGTATACCTAATAAGGATTAAATTGTGATTAATATAGCATTACTAGTAATGATTGCACTTTGAACAATCTAAATCTGTATTTAATGTAATGAGCAAAAACTCCTAGGTTAGGCAAAAGATACACTGAGTTCAGACTTTACATCAGGCTAAGAACCACTTAGTTTTTTAGTGTGTGGGACTGCACTAAATATTGGGGAAAAATAAAAGTTTTTAATTTAAATTTAAAATTTATGCCACAGGGTGAGGAATCCAAGACTTGAAACAACTTGTAATCCTAAACATGAAAACAGGTTATTCTTTTGTCTTGCTGCAAATGCATGCACATCATTTTTCTACTTAACCAAGCATTTATGCATGTAATTATGGGGGAAAGACCCTGGGATTCTTCAATGCTGAGTGGATTCTTTGCTTGTGGAGAAAGAGGTATGATCTTTGTGCTTAGTACGACTTGAGTTTGTGTATGTGTATATATGCACCTATATGTATATATGCATATATATATTCATACATATGTATGTATAATATACTCTTTTTTTTTTTTTTAGCCAAAACTGGTTGTAACATCCACATTTGGAATAGAACCTGGAAGAAAAGTGGAATATGTGCCACTTCTAGAGAAAGCATTGGAGATGATCAGTCACCAACCAGAAAGAGTTCTGATTTATAGGCGCCCTAATATGGTAATTATAGCAACCAAATTTATGTTCCTTATTGCTCTAGTCTTTTAAATCATATTTCTCTAAATAGCCTAATTGCAATCTCTGATTTTATTAGATTGTGGCATTTTATCATTTTAGTCTGAATTTCCTGCTCTTTACAGCCTCGGAATACACATATGTGCTACTATATCTACTAACATTCTTCCATAAAGAAGCTTTGTTATTTTTTTATCCTTTTCTCTGTGTGTGTACTTAAATGCAGTTTTACAAGACATAATGTTAGTTCCTTTATATAGGGAACTGTTCCTCTTAAACCAGAACGTGATTTGGACTGGAAGGAAGAAGTGGCCAAAGCAAAGCCATGTGACGCCATTCCTGTACATTCAGACCATCCACTTTATATTCTTTATACATCAGGAACTACTGGTACACCCAAGGTAGGTCTGTATTTCAATAGAAACACTTGTGATCAAGTTAAGTTCTACTCCAGATCAGGCAATATTTTATTAAAGTTAATTTAATTAAAACAGGACATTTTTTCCCTTCTAGCCCCCCCCCATTTTTATGGGCTTTTTGATATTCAAATTCTGTTCATCCTCCTAAATGATTTGCACAACTTTTGCTTCTATGTGGAGTGAGGGATGATTAAAGGCTTGAGTGTGGGTATATTGGTGGCATAATGATTAAAATCATTGGAATTTTACTGTGTTTGTGAAGAAATAGCAACAAAAGATAAAAGAATTCTCATAAGAACAAGAGAGAGTATAGCAACGGAGCCACCTTCTGTAACAGAGACAAGAATGAAGAAAGGAAAGTTACATTTAGCTGTAAATCTAAGTGATAGAGAATGCTTATGCATCATAAATAAATATTAAAAGCATAGGCGTTTTTACAAAAATATTTCCTAATTGCCTAAAGAGATGTAGGCAGGCACCAAGTGACCTCTAAAATACATTTGTTATTTTATCATATATTCAGTCTTGATGTAAATGGGTGGTTTGGAGAAAGATAGGAGGCAAGTAGGAATAGGCTGAGTTTTTCAAACTTATCAGGCTAGGGCTTTTTCAAAATTTGGGAATAGGGAAGGAAGAATACATACTCTTTTCTTCCTTCTTTTCCTGGCTCAATTACTTCAGCTCTTATTCCAGCTATTGTTGAGATACACTTTCATAAACATTGTTGTTGCTCACCCTGTTCCAGAATCATTCACCCCCCCTTTGTGAATATTGCTGCCTTTTTTGGGGGGGGGTCTTCTGCTCATCTATGCTTTCCCCTCAACTAGCCCATCCCTTTCTGTTAAGGAGCAACGAGCACAGCAGTTATAGACACAGATCCCTTAAGAAGTAGTATGTGGTCAAACTAGCCAGATGCAGACTCAAATCTGTGATTGATCTGGGCTACTCAGTCACTCAGCTGCGGCTTTACCAGTTGACTCTGAAGGTTTGTAAGGATGGCTGGCTAATACCAGGCAAGATTGTCCATGTGTTCCAAATGCATGGGGGAGAAAAGAAACTAACTGGTGGGATGTGGTGCTCCAGCATGCGTTTTGAAAAGTACAGGGAAGGCAAGTTTTTTTAAAGCCATAGTTCAATATGTGCCTAAGCAAAACTGACCTAGTCTTCTCCAGTGTTATTCAGTGTTAGGTCTATTAAACCATTGTAGCAATTTCTCTGGCAGCACTCTAAGCCAGGCATGTCAAACTCACGACGTCACATGACGTCACGCAACGTATCGGGCTGGTTTTGCCATTGCCAGCAGTGGGGTGGGCGTGGCTTCCATGTGACGCATCCAGCCCACGAGCCGGCAGTTTGACACCCCTGCTGTAAGCTATGGGTGGTCTCTTTGAAGTCAGAAGGGTATATGTGGGTTGGAAGTACCAGCTGTCTCATTTCACTGAATTCCATTCCTTGTCTGCCTCATATGTACAAGGTAAATTGAACAATGATTTGAACCATAAAATGTCCTTCCAAAAAATGTTTTCATCAATAAAATACTAGAAATGGTAACCATGCAAATTCAAATGTATGGATTTTTCCAGCCTGTACTGTTTCCACACGAAAATCATGTGGGTCAGAAAATGGAAGCTATACACCTCCAAAATACTAACTGTATTTTGCAGTGATTTGACTGAGAACAGCTTGTTTTTTTTCAATCACTTGAAATTATTCATACATCTATTCACTCTCCTAAAAAAGGAGGGAACCCTATGACCTTCTTTCCATATGTTATTGAACTATATGTCCATCTATTATGACTTTGTTAAAGTTCAGAAGTATTTGGAGGACTGCAGAGTATTCACTATCCTTTATATAAATGCATTTGGATTAGCTGAATTGCAGAATCTCAATTTTTCTCCTGCTATGATAGAATTACACATTCCCCATATTGCATGTAAGAATAGATTCTGAATAAAGAACAAATTTATGCATCTATGCTTGAAATTCTGAAAACTCCTAGAATTAAGGTGAATAATATTAATTTCCTGCAAGAATTCATTTAATTCTAATGAATTATTTAAATATCATTTTTTTTTACTCAGGGTGTTGTCAGACCAACAGGTGGCTATGCAGTTATGCTAAACTGGACGATGGCAGCTGTATATGGACTTAAGTCTAAAGAGGTAATTTCAGTTTATATAATATGTTTCAATTAAGAAAATCAGTGCCTATATTTTAATTACATTTTATATCTCATTTTTAGGTCTGGTGGGCTGCTTCTGATTTAGGCTGGGTGGTTGGCCATTCTTACATTTGCTATGGACCTCTTCTGCATGGGAATACAACAGTTTTATATGAGGTGATTATTTTTTAAATTTTCATTATTTAATTCATTTGAGTTCAGCAAACAGAGAACAGACACAATAGTGGCCAAAATTGTGGAAACCTTTTGGGAAAAGTGTACAGTAGAATTGCCATCTTTGGTTAAGTTTCTACCAATTTTTCTTCTAATTTCTTTATAACTGTAGCCTTGTTCATTTAGTAATACTATTTTACAATACTTTCTGGGCAACCAGTCAACTCTTTGCACCATTACTTTAATTTTATTACGTTTTACAAGCTCACTAAATGAAAGAAAAAAAAAACCCAACCAACTTGATAGTGATCACATAACACACTGACAAATGTCTTCCTCTCAGCTTTAATACATGACATCAATATCTGAATCCTACTGTGATCTGATTGGCTCATTGCCAAAACAAGATGACACCTGATTGGTTCTTTAAACACTCATGCTCATTGGCTACAATCAGATGAAGGAAAGCTACCTGATATCAACCTAAGCAACTTGTGCTTCTTTTTTCTGGTTATTTGGCTATACCTTTTCATAGAATACATCAAACCTCAAAAATACACTTTTCCCAAAAGGTTTCCACAATTTTGGCCACTATTGTACAATTCCTCTGTTCATTAACATGTGTTATTACTACTTTTAGTAGTAGTGCTTTTCATCAGTCTCATATGGAATGTCTGGTTCTGAGGTGATTAGGAAGTCTTCTTGGAGAAACATAATTTGTAAAACCCTCTTATCCCTTTTAGCACTATGTAAGCAAGCTAAAACGAGATTGGATCTTGCATATTCCACATGTCTACACACTAGAGAAGATTGGAAGCTTTTCCCTCTGATTTTAAATTAAATACTTTTTCTTCATTATATGCCATCTGGAGAACTATGTTTTGTTCAAATTCCAAAGCAGTGAGTTTTAGAAACAACTGTTTTAAAAATAACATTATGCATTTTTCTGATAATGTATATATTTCTGTCATGATTATCTTTGTGTTTTGTTTTTTCTTTTTCAGTTATTATTTTAGAAATAATAAACTAAATAAACATCTAAGTAGTGAGAACAAACCAATTTCATTTATACTGTGCGTGTCTGTATGTGTATGTATGTGTACTTTCCTGTTTCAAGCAAAGGAAATTGTTGTTAGATATGACTTGATACAGGCAGAATAACTCCATGGAAGGATTCATTCATTCATTCATTCATTCATTCACTTTATTCATCAGGCATCCTCAAGTCAATAACTTGTTACTGTAGAGATTCTTCTGGAATATAGGTTGTAATTTGGACCCATTGCATAGGTAAAAGGAAAATAGGTTCCTCCATTCTAACAGAGCTACCAGCCCTCGTGGCTAGGATTCATGGAGATTTCGCTGACTGGCACGTAATCAGGATATCCCGTAATAAACACAAGTCCCTCCCAGTGGCCAATCCTAACACAGATATGACCAAGTAACATAAACTACATTACCCAGAAGGCTATCCCTTAAGGGAACAGTTCTTAATTCCTAAGCTAGCTATATGCTCTGACCAGATGGCTATATACTCTGACCAGCACATGTACATACATACATACATTTTTGTTTTTATACATTTTTTATTCTGGTTCCATCATGAGGTCAGATTAATCAGCAAGCTGTACAGTGTTAGTAAATAACCAGTTTGTAAAGTTACCATCACTAGTAATTTTGACAAATAGGGTGGCTTGGATGCTCAGGCTGTTCTTCTGCATCTTATAGCCTTTGTTATAGAAGTTATAATTAGAAGGTTGAACTAAGATTACAGAGAAACACTGTATGTGGGGGGAAGTGGGATGTTGTGGGTACCAGGCAAGTATTCTCCAGTAGGATATTTGATCAGTGGACCTCTGTACCTTATAGCCAATTGCTTTATTCCACTGTGGGAACAACAAGAAATCTTACTGAAGATGCCTGCAAGGCCCAGGCAGGTTACTAAGATAGTGATTTTTCTTGAAAATACTTACATTAGGTTGTTGAGGAATTTAAAAGGCTAATTTTGAAAGAGAAAGCATTCCCAATGTCAGGCTAACCTCTGAGATAACTTTATATAGGTAAAAGGAACCAAAAGAATGACTCATGGAAAGAGAAGAAGCCCCTTCCCCCCCAATTCAGGTGTGCATCATTACCCCATCCACCATGGTCCTCACTTGCACAAAAAAAGGTCTAGATACCATTGACTAAAAGTCTGCTCAAACTGGGGCTGAAAAACTGTATAGGATTGTGAACATAAATGAACCACATTATGAGAGAGAGAAAGAGAGAGGGAGAGGGAGGGAGAGGGAGAGGGAGGGTCTGGGATTCCCAAGTAATATTAATCAGACTTCAGTCTGCTTGAAGGTCAACAAAGTCAGCCTGGGTTTGTACCTATTGAGATGTGTATGCAATAGGTTAATAATTACCTGGTGACAATTTGATGCAGTACTTGCAAGACATGTTTTTTTGGTACCTCACTAATTTATTCAGTGCTTCACCAGACAGCTTTGACACACTAATGTGGGTACATATGAATAATTTCCTCATGTCCATACAAATTTATGTCACCATTCTGCTGACAAGTTGATGCCATAGTTGCAATGAGCCTTTAAACTGCAAAAGAATTATGAAATACTTTTTACCCAATTATATTTTTAAAACTAATCTCTTTATAGGGAAAACCTGTAGGAACTCCAGATGCAGGTGCTTTTTTCCGTGTGCTGTCAGAATATGGAGTAGTGGCTTTTTTTACTGCACCAACTGCAATTAGAGCAATCCGTCAACAGGACCCTGAGGCTGTCCTGGGGAAACAGTACAATTTGACAAGGTGAATTTTGGTCTCTTTGCTTATCATATTTGCAAATGATGCAAAATTGGGTATGATAGCAAAGCCCTAGAAAACAGAAATAACATTAAAATGGGCCTTGATAGGACAAATAGCATAAGCTCCACAAACTAGGACAGCAAGAACAAAATATGGCTTTGTTCTCATTAAACTTGTTTTGTGTTTATTTATTCCAAGTAATTCATCAGTGACTGTTAAATGACAGATGTACTTCTAATCTCATTTCTTTTATTCAGGATCTATTTGAAAGATATTGTCAGATAATTTCAGTTACCTGGTAACTTAATTCTTTTGTTTTTAGCAAACATTATTTTCTAATATTATTGCCACTTTTCTTTATTGTTAGGCCTATTCATATTATTTAGTTTTTGAAACTCTAGCATACTGTATTAGAATATGTTGGCGAAGAAGTATTATTTTCTATACTTCTGCCTTTATAGTAGATAGAACTGGACAATGAACTGGAGTGAAACTTGTATTTTTAATTGAACAGGGTAATTATCTTCTGCAATAATCTACTTTACCATTGTACTGTTTTGGCACAGTAGCTGGTTCTGAGTTTAAGAAGCTGATTCCAAATGGAATCAGGAGGACTCTAAAGGGTGATTTTCTCCTTCCCTCCTGGAACACCCAATAAGAAAAAAAAATATAAACCTTTTGTTATGTACAGAAGAATAAGTGTACTATTTGCCTTAACCAAATAATAGCCATACAGATACATAGCCAATATTACACAAGGACAAGAATGACTTGAGGTAACAGTTACTGAGTTCACAGAGAATGAGAAGCTTGCCTAGAGATAGCAGTTCATCTTCTCAATTGTCTGAGCAATCTCCTGAACAGTACATTTCAAAAGCACAATGCCCACTTAAAGTGCTCCCATAATAAAAATACAGCCACAAGCTGCTTTTATAAAAGTCTTGTGGAATTTTCTCATTCTTCTCTTGGTTGCTTGATCCCCTCTGGATCTTCCCCATTGGCCAGTTTAAATCCTGTCTGCCTCTGAAAATGAAAGTTAGGTCCCCCCCCCCCAAAATCCACTGGACAATTCTCTTGCTTGACAGCCTGAAACTTGGCAGCTTCTACAGCATCTCCCCTCACTGGTTGTTTGTGCTAACTAATCTGAATCTCGTGCACTTAACCATAAGATTATGTGGCTGCAGGGAGTTGTGAGCCTTTTGAATTTGGCCAAGAAGCAATACAAAGATTACAGGAATGTCACATTATTATTGTATGGTATAATAAACAAAACTAGAAAGACTATGGAGTTTCCCTTTGCCCCCTCACATGCCAGAGAGAATCAAGGTGGAATTATTTTGAGTTTGTTTCTTATGCTTTATTCTTTCCCAGGACTCTTACTTTTGATTAACTGTTACTGCATACTTTCTTCAAAATTATCTCAGCATATCTCTATAGGAGTGAAGTCCCAGCAGGGCACAGTACTGCAAGGAGAGGAATGTTGTCCCTTATTCCCTTTATCTCCCCAGGCTGCCTCTTACAATCATTTTCTTTTACTAGCTATTGTTCTTCTGCTCTTCTCTTTTGGCTTTAAAGGTCTGTGAATGTGTGCCTGTCTTTTGCACGCACAATAGCATTTTTTTCTTTTCTTAATGAACAAATCTAAGCTTTGTTTCTTCCATCTCTATTTCTTTTAACCCCTTGGTGGTGAACCTATGGCACGCATGCCACAGGCGGCATGCAGAGCCGTCTCTATGGGCACGCGTGTTATTGCCACAGAGGGACGCAGGCCCGGGCCCCTCCCCCTCTCCATGCATGTGGAATCCAGGAACAGCTGTGAGAGATGGGTGGGGTGAGAGAACCTATAAAAGAGCAGTTTTGGTGGGAGAATGAGTGAGCAGCATTTAGAAGCAACCAGTGGTGGGGCATAGAAGGGGCACCAGGCAGGGGCTGGGGGGGCGGCCGGCAGGGAGAAATCAGAGCCGCCATCTCCCTTCCGCAGTGCAGCCCCATTGGCATTGGTGGAGACAGCCCCGGGATAGCCGGAAAGGAGCCCTCACCTGGTGCGGGCTGTGTCTACATGGTGGCTCTGATGGGAGTGGCTTCTGTTGCTGCTCTGACCAGTCAACCATGCAGGGAAGCAGGAGGAGATGGAGGGGCAGCCGGGGACCAGCTGCCTCTGTGTATGGGGGCCGATGATGTCAGGCAGCAGATCCGGAAGCGAAGCTATGCCACCCATCCTCACGCTGGTGGGGGCAGTGGCGGAGGGGAAAGGAGGAATCTGGCATGCGCCCATCCTTTGCCACTGCTGTCACACATTGTCCTGCGTGCGCTTCCGGGCCATGGGGTGGCAGCAGGGAGAGGTGGGCATATGCCATAGCTGACCTTTTCCCACCACTGCCTCCACTAGCACGAGTATGGGCGGCACAGCTTCACTTCCAGATCTGCTGCCGGACGGCTTGGTGTTGCAGGAATCACTGCTGCTGTCTCCTACTTCCCTGTGTGGTTGGCTTTTCAAGGGGCTCGGAGCAGCAGGAGAAGCAGCAGCTGCCGCCCCTGTCAGAGCCACCGTGTAGACACGGCCCACACCAGGTGAGGGCTCCTTTCCTGCCATCCTGGGGCCATCTCCGCTTACGCTGATTGGGCTGCACTGTGGAAGGGAGATGGCTCTGATTTCCCCCTGCTGGCCGCCCCTCCAGCCCCCTGCCTGGTGGCCCTTCTATGCAATCCTACGTGACCGCAGTGTGGACGAGAGGCTCGGCTGGTGGGGGGGCGGCTTTCCTCCGTGGAGGCATCCCACCCCCCCTAGCCAGACCTCCTCGCCTTCCCCCAGCCAGGACCTGATGACTCCCACCCTCCTGCCCACACCCCAGCTGACCCCCTGAGCAGCCCAGCCTGACCAAGATGGAGGGAAGACGAGTCAGAGAACTGGTTGTTAAATGATTTGAAACTCACCACTGGTTGCTTCCAAAGGCCGCTCACTCACTTTTCCACCAAAACTGCTCCTTTTATAGGTTTCCTTAACCCACCCAGCTCTCGTAGCTGTTCCAGACTCCGCAGGTGTGGGGAGGAAGAGGGGAGGAGCCGGCCCTGCATCTCTCTGCCTGTGGCAATGGTGCATGTGTCCACAGGGATGGCTTTGCATGCCACCTGTAGCACACGTGCCATAGATTCGCCACCACGGCCTTAGTATCTAATGGTTCTACTGTCTTTGATTTCAACTTCCATCCACTACAGATGGAATCAGAATCAGATCCCCTAGCACTCAAGTTAATTTCCTTACTCTTTCTTGCAAACCTCTACACATTTGCATAAATTTATTTATTACCCAGCTCTGTTGTAAGTCAGTACCATTGTAATTGTAACAGCTATAGTAACAGAATCCTGTAAGTCTGAATCCTTCCTTTATCTTTGTGTTATCTAGGGAGGCACCTGTCTGAAACATTTACTCATTTTACTATATTAGCTGAGACTCTGTGTCCCTCTTATCTGACCACTGCCTTAGTAGCAACTCTTCTTCATCTTCTTCAGGGCCGTTCTTTCTGCTCTCTACATCTATACAAGATATTTTCTTCATCTAATAATGTGCTGGGTGTGTGTGTGTGTAATGATAGAAGAGTCTTGTTTTACCATCACATGCCATCAGCTACTTGAAAATTATGTACGTTTGCTGGGCAAAAGAAAAATGTAATAATCCTTGAACAAACAATGAACAATCAATCCAGCTTACTAAAAGGTTCTTTTGCTGCAGTAAACTAACATGATTACCCATTTGGAAATCCTTGTAAAATAGAGTATCTGAGGCTCCAGGGTTACAAGTGATCCTTAAAAAAATCATATCTATGAATTCAGAAACCTCCCAAAGTATTACAAATAATATTTAAGTGACCCGAGGATAATTGGGAGGTAATTGATCAAAATAAATTCATGTAATTATTTTTCATTACCTGAAAGTGTGATTGGAATGAAGTCAACTTGACTTTTCTCCATCAGAATGGATGTAGAATCCACTGATTGGGTAATTTAATCCCTCCTGCTCAGACTAAGAAACAAAAAAACTTTGCCATGCCTCCTTCTGGGTGTGACTTTCCCCAATTTTTTCTTAGTCTCGAGCTCAGCTAGACGCGTTTTGGAAGGCTCCTCAGCTAGCTTGCTTCTCTAATTGGTTTTTTTGGGGGGGGATTTATCATTGAACTTGGCTACTCTTAAATTCAAAATTGATCTAAATTGGCTTTTGCTTCACAACTCAGAAATCCTTGGAGATTGTGTGTGTGTGGGGATAAGGACTCTGTCCTTGCTCCTCTGCAGCCCTTTGAGCTTTGAAAAAGGGGAGGCTGCAGGCTTTCGTTCGGAAGGGAGCTCCCTTCGACGATCTGTAGACTCTTCGCGATCCATCAATCAGCCAGACAGCGGAGATTGTTTTGCCTGTGCGGAGGCCTCCGGAGCACTATTTCTCACCTCGAGGCCTCGAGGGAGACTTTTCCTGACTCCGGATCACAGCTGCTACCAATCGCAAGTGCTTGGGGACCTGGGGGGGGGAGGAAACAAAAAAGTCAAGCCTTTTTTCATTTTCCAGATTCTCCTTTTAAACAGACCCCAGGGTTTTCCCTCCTTGCTTCTCCAAGGGTTTTCAGGCCTAGCAGCCGCCATTTTGACCACATGGCTTAGCGCGGCTGTTACTAAGAGGGCCCATGTGGCGGACGCCATTTTGGAGGCCTAATTAAATTTATTTACAACATCATTTGCAGTTATTCCTGCATTATCGCAGATTTGGATTTGTTGCCTGAGTGCCTTGGTCTGTGAGCAGACCCGTTCAGTGGGGGGAAGATATTTGTGTACCACAGTGCTTGTGGTGCAGCTTGCGGGGACTACCCCAGGTGTGGGCCTTGCCTGCATCTGAGCAGGCCAAGGTGTTATTTTCTGGGCTTAAGGCCTAGAAAAGGAGGGCAAAGAGATCTTCTTTTTTGACCACCTGTTCTCAGTTTGTCAGTGACCTTTTGTCACAGGGCCTGTGCAGACAGCAT